TTTATGCAGAGGGTGGTGGGTACCTGGAACGCGTTGCCAGCGGAGGTGGTAGAGGCAGGCACAATAGCGTCATTTAAGATGTATCTAGACAGATACATGAATGGGCAGGGAGCAGAGGGATACTGATCCTGGGAAAATAGGCGACAGGTTTAGATAGAGGATCTGGATCGGCGCAGGCTTGGAGGGCCGAAGGGCCTGTTCCTGTGCTGTAATTTCCTTTGTTCTTTGATCAATCAAGGGTTACTAAGAAGTCCCCCAATCTTCCAGCCAGTTACTCGCCTTTGCAGTATGGGGTGCCTTCGTTTTTTTTTTACAGTATCTTTAACTTCCTCATTTAGCCACGGATAAATAGCACCCCCGCAAACCCGAAAGGGTTCAGAAAAGATCTGTAAGCACGTTGCCAGAACTGGAGGGTTTGAACTATAGGGAGAGGCCGAATAGACTGGGGCTATTTACCCTGGCGCGTCAAAGGCTGAGGGGTGACCTTGTAGAGGTTTATAAAATCATGAGGAGCATGGATATGGTAAATAGCCAAGGTCTTTTTCACAGGGTAGCCAAATCCAAAACTAGAAGGCATAGGTTTAAGGTGAAAGGGAAAAGATTTAGAAGGGACCCGAGAGGCACTTTTTCAAACAGAGGGTGCAGCATGTATGGAATGAGCTGCCAGAGGAAGAGGTGGAGGCTGGTAGAATTACAACATTTAAAAAGGCATCTGGATGTGTACATGAATAGAAAGGCTTTAGAGGGATATAGGTCAAATGCTGGTTAATGGGACTAGGTTAACTTAGGATATCTGGGCGACATGGACAAGTTGGGCCGAAGGGTCTGTTAATGTGCTGAATAACTTTATGACTCTTATAATTCTTCATCCTTTCTGGAATATATTTCAGTTGAGAGCTCCTTAAATATCTGCCACTGCTCATCAACTGTCCTACCTTTTATTCTTCCTACCCAGTCCACAATGGCTGGATTGGTCCTCATGCCTATGTAATTGCCTCAGTTTAACTCCAGTGGTGGGACTACAGTTTCTTGCCCTTCAACTGAATTTGAAATACTAGCATGCTATAACCACTCTTCCCTAGGGGACCTTTTACTATGAGATAATTAATGAATACCACCTCATTATACCACATCAAATCCAGAATAGCCTGTTCCCTGCTTGATTACACAATATACTGGTCCAAGAAATAATCTCTTAATATAACGAACTTCTGCTTGAAGCTAACTTTGCTAGTTTGATTAATCCAGTCTATACTTGTGTTAAAGATCTGAAGAAGGGTCACTGAACCTGAAACATTAATTCTGCTTTCTCTCCACAGATGCTGCCAGACCTGAGTTTTCCCAGTGATTTCTGCTTTCCATGCATATTAAAATCACCCTTGATTATTGTTGTACCTTTCTTACAAGCCCACACGATTTCCTGGTTTCCCCTGTGTCCCACTGAAGAGCTTATCGATTAGTTTGGGGACTTATAGATTACTGCATCTTGCTTTTTCTTATTTACCCAGACTGATTTTACGTCTTGATCTCCAATGCTGATATCATTTCCCATGACAGAACTGATATCTTCCTTTACTGACAAAGCTAAAGTACCCATTTTTCCTTCCTGTTTAACTCCCCAAAAGTGTACCTTTGGATATTCAATTCCCAAACTGGGTCTCCCTGCATTACTTCTTACCAATCACCACCAAATCATATCTATTCGTCTCTATTTGCAGTGTTAACTGATTGATTTAATTTCTAATGCTTCGTGCGTTTAGATACAAAGCCTTTAAGTTTGTTCTATTGTCAAATTTCCCTACGCTAGGACAATTTCTTGGTGCAATATATAATGGTCATATATTGTTATTTTTTGATAACAATCAGCCTCATCACTAACCTACATTCCTGCCTTCTCTTTCGAAAACACATCATTTGGGCCCAAAAGCTCTTTTCTGTCTTCTGTGTTTATGGTTTATCATGCCTTTTCTAACTCGATTTATTTTCTTCCCAGCATCCTGCCTACTGCTTGGCCTGTACACAACTCCCTTCAGGGTGCTTTTACTTTTGCGGTTTCTCAACTTTACAGATTCTACACCTTTTGACTCCAAACCACTTCTTGCTATTGATTTAATTTCATTTTTTAAATAAAAAGGCAACCCCATTCCCTCTGCGTATCCTTTCAATAGGACATGTACCCTTGGATATTTAGTTCCCAGCAGTGATCCCCTTGCAGCCATGTCTTTGTGATGTCCACAACACGGAACCTGCCAACTTCAATCTGCACTACAAGTCCATTTACCTTGTTTCGTATACTGTCTGCAATTGGGTATAACACCCTCAGCCCTGCACTGACTGTGCCCCTTCTCATTGTTGTCCCATTATCTGTTGTGTCTGAAATTAGTTTCCTCACCCATTCTTTACTCTCTGTCCTATTATTGATCACATGCAGTCAGACCTGGACAACACTCAGGCTCGGGCTTATAAGTACCACTCATGTTACACAAGTGCCAGGCAATGACCGTCTCCCATTACATCAAATGGCGTTACCACTGCTGAACCCCTGACTGCCAACATTGGCTGCACCAGTTCAGTTTCTGGGCACATAAATTCTGTGGCTACAAAAATAGTTCGACAGGCTGGGAAGAAGAGATTAGCAATTTACCTCCCAAGTACTGGTTTTCAGTTCTTCACCCTTTGCCTATACACTCATTCAGCACTGAACCAGTTTGATTGTAGCAAACTCAGAGATTCCTGTCAGATGAGCATCCATTTGTTGGAACAAGAATTTCAGGAAATTCTCACCCTCCCAATGCCATTGCAGTAACTGGAGTTGCTCCTATTTAAAAACTTCATTCATGGAATGTGGGTGTAGCTGGCTGGGCCAGTATTTATTACCCATTTCTATTTGCCCTTGAGAAGGTGGAGGTAGGCTGTCTTTTGGAACTACTACAATTTACTTGGTGTAGGTAGACCCACAATTGCCATTGCTTGAACAACTGGATCTACAATTATTCAAGTGCCTTAGAGTTCCTAATTGCTCAGGAACCGCAGGAAACTGCTCTCAAGTGATCTATCATTTCACTTAAAAGTACATTTATGCATATGTTTCAATAAAAATATTTAAGTTTAACATCCTTAATTATTTAATTGCACATAGATTTTTATTTTATACAATTTGAGACCCCTTTAGTGTTAGTACCTTCTATCTAATTGCAATTTTATGCCCTTAGATCAATTTAATTGCAGATATATAAATATTTTAAGCAACCTGTTTGCAGGTGTGTCATAACATATCCAGAGTAGGTGGGACTTGAATCTGGAATTTCTGGCCTAGAGGTAGGGGCACTGATAATTTATATACCTAGTTACTTTTGCCCCTTAGTTTAAAGTATCACTTGCTTCACCCTATGAAGCTACTTCTTTTCATCAACTTGTTTAGCAAGTCACTTGAATCGCCCAACTCTTACCCAACTATGTTCATAGATCAAAGCTTCATCATCTTCTCTATCTTAATATTCTCTCTCCATTGGCTCCATTCCACCCTATCCTATTGAAAGAAAGTTTACAGACCAGCCACTGAAGTGGATCAGTTGCATGATTCTCCTCCTTATGGACCAATGCAGTCAAAAAGTATTAACTTGCAGGTCAATTGTTCTTGGTCGTGCCAGTGAAAAATGCTCTGCCATTCTCTTCACATGTTCTTTCCTTCATGCAAACTCTGAGTTTGCAAGTTTATAATTAGTTTCTAGTGTTATGGATCAGACCAAATCCCCTCAAAATATATTAAGAAGGTAGCCTAGACCCTTACATTTTCTGGAATATTGTGTGCAGTTTTGGTCTCCTTTTCTGAGAAAGGATGCTCTTGCTCTTGAGTGAGTGCAGCGAAGGTTTACCAGGCTGATTCCGGGGATGGCGGAACTGACCTATGAGGAGAGATTGACCAGGTTGGAATTGTTTTTGCTGGAATTCAGACAATGAGGGGGATCACAGAGACAAATAAAATTCTAACAGGATTGGACAGGGTAGATGCAGGGAGGATGTTCCTGATGGTGGGTGTGTCCAGAACCAGGAGTTACATATGAGGATTCAGGGTAGACCATTTAGGATGGAGATGAGGAGACGTTTCTTCACCCAAAGAGTGGTGAGTGTGTGGAATTCATTACCGCAGGAAGTAGTTGATGCCAAAACATTGAATGTATTCGAGAAGCGACTAGATATAGCACTTGGGGCAAATGGGATCAAAGGTTATGGGGAGAAAGCAGGATTAGCCAATTGAGTTGGACGATCAACCATGACCGTGAAGAATGGCAGAGCAGGCTTGAAGGGCCGAATAGTCTCCCCCTGCTCCTATGTTTCTATATTTCTTATTTTAAAAAGTAAATGTAAGGTGTTGCATTCCAGATGCAATTTGATTGGTCAAACTACTAAAACTTTAAGCAAAACACCTCTTATTTTTACACTACACTTAAAATACAGACAAAAACAAAAAATTAGCTTAACTGTAACTATCAAAACGCTTAAGAAAATAATATATTAACCTCGACTAATTAACTGTTCCGATATAACAACATCCTATAAGCAAACCCTTGGCAAAGGCAAATTTAGTAAAATAGATTGTTTCACATTCAATTCCAATAGGAGGAAAAACCCAGCTTTTAGCTGTAACAGAAAGGAATAAAAGCTTCCACATCAGGCTTCAAGACCTCAACAACTGCAGAAAACTAAAACTAAAAATCCTGCTTCTGTGGGAGCTTGACCTCACCCATTCAGGTTGCTTCTGTTGTTCCAACTTCTAAAAACCCAAGGCCTCCTGAGCTGTTTACTTTATTGGCTTTGAGCAGACTGCTCCTCACCTCCGTCTCAACGTTTCTTCATAAAAAACCAGGACAAAATATATCTGTCAAAGCCATTGCATCGTCATACTAGTCTAGTTTTACTAAAAAAAGTCACTTTATGTTGTTCTCAGGGGATCGCAGGCAAGTTTTAGTGTTCAAAGCTTGCAATTTAAAAATTCTTACTTTTTGCTGCCTTGGAGCGAGTGCGTATTCCCTCATCAGCATTGAATATTTCCTCTCCTTTCACCATGATATCCCTCAGCCTCTTGTCATCTGTGTTTATGCCATGTTGTAAGAGTTTACACATTGCTACAGTGCTGTAGAGTTAACACAATCTGGTTAATGACCAGTCCTGAAAAACACAACAGCCTCTTTACAACAAATTACTGAGTCACACACATTACATGGTCGTTTTAATACATATTTTTCTTATTTTGGAGGTAAAGGATGTACTGGGAAGTGGAACACTTTCTATTTTAGTTTCACAATACCACTGTCAAACATACCAATAGCGCACACGCACAAAGGGTTAGATCATTCTGAAACCATCTCAAATTTACCCTCAAATCACACCCAAATCAGCTCTGAAATATCTTTGTTTTTTTTTATTTATTTACAGGATGAGGGCGTTGCTAGTGTGTGACATTAACAGCATCCTCTTCTCTGATGAAGACAGATTCATTTAGTCCCTTGTCAAAGCCTTCACAAGACCTCACTGTTTGTCCAATAAGCAACCCTTTTATTGATTCTATGATTATAAGTTACTGAATTACTTTTATCTTACACAAAACAATTCTCAGTAACTCAGTTTGTACTTTTTTTCAGTTTTCTCATACCTTTTGTGATTGATTCTCTACTGCATTACAAACAATGTGTCAATAACTTGCATTTTTCTGTTTTATTTGTGAGCTTACTGTGGGTATCCTGCCCTTAAACTTCATGGTGGTATGTCTACTCCATCCTTAAACTATCTTCACTTTCTCAGTCTTTCGTGATTTCTTTACACTTTTAGCTGCCAATCATCAATTCCAATCCATCTCAGCCAGATACCTTTTCAATTTTCTTGAAATGAGTTCCCATTCTCCAGCTGAATCCTTTCAAATTGATTGACCTCTGTTCTACTCCAGAATTACTCAAAATCAAATGAATTGTGATCACTGTTTCTTAAATGAACTCCCATTGAAACCCGTTTGATTTCATTTCCCAGACAAGTTCCACCAATACTCGCTTGGACGGGAACACACTAGTCAAAAAACCTCTCCTGTGCACATTACAGGAATTCCTCCCCCAATGTGACCTTTTACTCTGATATTTCAGAGTCTGATTTAGGAAAGCAGAAGTCTCCTATTATCACCACTATAGGAGTCTACAAAGACTATAATCTTTGAAGCTTTTCTGCGATTTGCATATCCAAACCCAACTTGGTCTACCCACATTATTCCTGTGACTGATCACTCCTATTTCTCAATCACTATTTTAACACTGGTTGTGCATCTGATATCTCTACGAAACTTTCCACACCTTTCTCCAAATCATCAATACTCTGTCTCCTATAACAGAACAGGTAGCACACCTGACTTTGCCCTCATATTGTCCATAGAAGAGAGGCTGCCGACTTGTCCACTCAGACATAACAAACTCCAGAGCAGGTTTCCCGGTGGGTCCAGGCAGACTGCACAGAAACTCAAGCAGAGGCTCCAGCTGATTGTGAACGAGGTGTGCAAACACCATTATTAGAGACTGCAGACAGAAAAGGAACAATGAATTCCAAGATTAGGGACTGAAGCAAAAACAGGGTAAAGGTAAGAAACAGCAAGAATGCTTTACCACCCCTTGAATGTGCTCTCACCTTTAACACAATCATAACTGATCTTTGACCTTAAACCCACTTTCCCCCAAATTCCCAGGTAGCTAGATTCCCATGGACTCCAAAAGTCTGTTTATCTCAGTCATGTACATTTGCACCAACCCCATGACTGCCACAAGAACCCACACCCGACCCCTTGCCCATTCATGACACCCTCTCCCACCTACCTGCATTACACTGAGTGTTTCTGCTTGCTGCATTTTGCTGAGGATTGCTCGCAGAATCTGATCAAGGTTGTCCCCTAATTGTGAACCAGCCTTTGAAATAAGCGTAGAAACCAGTCGTCCAACAAATGCTGCTGTGTATTCAGAGGTTCGGGGGTCGAGAAGCTGGCTCACCACCTGCATGACGTACCAGAGCCCATTGTGGCCTTGGTCATCATGCCATTGTGCTATTTGCTCCAATGCTACAGCAACATAAGCTCGCAGACACTCACCACCATTCTGTAAGAGAAGATTTCAGTGAGAGAGGCGCAGGTTTCTTCACTTCGGATGTACCAGGTATCTTACATCACACTCATTATTAACAAATCTCCTCACCTATTACATACCATTGGAGCAGAAATCATTCAGCAGACGTTTTTAACCTAGAAAGCTACCTGGTGAAGAATATAACTGGCGTCAGTCAATCTCTTCACACTTTTACCAGCGTGGTTACAGATTTAAGGCAGGCAGCTTCTAAACCAACAACCTACAGTTGCTAATTTATAGAGCAGACACATGAATCTCCAATTAATCCCCACCAATGGCCTAAATTAAACCAACACAAGTCGCCAATTAGGCCATTAATACTTTTAACTTTTAATACAGCAATCCCAAACAAATCCCACTTTCTCCTATATTAAATGCAAACCAATCCAAATGTGATGCCACATTTTCTCCCTATAACACTACTGTTCCTACACTAATCCCAATATGCCATAATCTGCATCAATCCCAAATTAATCCCAGTGCCTGGTTTCTCCCCAAAACCATTTATTCATAGAATTACACAAGTGTCATGGTACAGAAAGAGACCATTCAGTCTATCATGTCTGCACTGGCAATATTAATGCTGATATTAACCTCAAACTAATCCTTCCCTCCTGCCATAACTCTATCAAACCCAACTGTCAAGTTATAGGTACTTTACAGCCTTCTGGAGATAATGAGTTGCAACAATGTCATGCCATAGTCTTAGTCTGCTTATGTTGTATCTATGAATGGCAGCTGGTTATAAAATCTTTTATTAAAAAAGTTCTTCCCATTACTGTCACTAACCCTGTCAGTTAATCTCTTCTGCCCTTCATCCACACAAATGGTGTCAGCTGTGGCTCAGCTGCAAGCACACTCCCCTCTGAAGTGAAGGTTCTGAGTTCAAGTCTTGCTGTAGTACAAAATTCAAGGCTGACAGTGCAGTACTCGGGAAGCATTACATTGCCTTTTAGAAAAAGTGTTAAATCGAGGCCCCCGTCAGAGAATAGGAAAGATCCCATGGCGCTATTTTAAAGGGGAATTATCCCTGGCTAATATTTATCCTCCAATAACACATGAAAAAGATATCTGGTAATCATCATACTGTTCTTTGTGGGATTTTGCTAAACACATTACTTGCCATGCGGTTTCAAGAAGCAGCTGAAAAAGTACTTGATTGGCTGTAAGCTGCTGAGACGTTAGGTGGTCATGAAAAGTACTGGAAAGATACAAATTTTTATTTATTTCCTTCCTTTCTGTACTCCTTTCCCTTCTTGTGTGCTTGTTTACAGCCCTGTCACACCTCCAGCACATTTTCCAGTTCTGACAAAAAGTCACAGACCTGAAATTTTAACTGTTTCTCCACAGATGTTGTCAGATCTGCTCAGCATTTCCAGCATTTTGTAAACAAGTTTTTATTTCAGATTTCCAGAATTCGCAATATTTTGCTTTTGTAATCCCATTGCTTCGCTCTCTTTCCCACCCTTCAATCTCAAATCACCTTCATGGATCGGGAGAAGAGTTGGGTTTGGAAAGCAGCACTTTACTGTCTTATTGGAGACTCACCTACCTGCATTGTTGCATTGTCATCTGTGTGCAGCGTACACTGAGCAACAACAGGAAATGCCTGACAGATCAGCACCTCTGACAGTGGCACCTTGGTGTTTCGCACTACTGTTGTCAGTATGTCAATGGCAGTCTGCAGACAGATAAAAGGTATCAGTGTCAGCTTCAGTCCATTGCTCAGCATATTGAGTCAATGCAATGATACATACGAGGCAAATACTCACCGCACAGAGGCCGGAGGGGATTTTATCAGACGGAGCATGCATTATGCTAATAAGAGTTGGAATTAACCTCATCTGCATGGGACCCTGACATGCCTCAATTTGAGCAAGCTCCTTGAAGATGTCCTGTGCCAATGATGCCACTACTGGATCTGGAGATTCAAAAAAGTGAGCAAGCTGAATTAGAAATTCAATCCCTTATATACAGCATGCACAAGATTTCTGGTGAAGCCAATCAACCTGATTGACAGTGGAACAGAGAAACAATGCAGACAGCAAAGGCAGAGTGGACTTCACACAAACATCTCACAGGTCAGACACAACTCAAATTCTAATGGCATTTCAAGTTCTTTCAAACCATGGCAGCAAATCCCAAGATTGGACATTCAGATCTCAACATCCCCACAGACAGACTCCGGTGATATGTCTCATACTTTCTTTTCTTTCCTGTTAATTAAACCAGCTCCCCTCCCCTGACAGGACACCCTTCTGTTCAAATGAATATGTGGCTTCTGCACACTTCACAAGAGGATTTACCACCTTACATCCAATTCTAAAATCAGAAACCTTCCAACTTGCTCAACAACACCTCTCTCAAACAAAGCCCAGTTCCAAGCAACATTTTGAATCCAATTTAATGTGAAAGCAAACACGGCAGAATGATGGCTGAGAGTTCAGCACTGCTGCCTCAGAGCTAGGTTCAATTCCAGCCTTGGGTGAGTGTGTGGAGTTTGCACATTTCCTCATGTCTGTATGTGTTACTTCCAGGTGCTCTGGTTTCTAAAGACGTACAGGTTAGTCAGTTGACCATACTAAATTGGCCGTTGTCCAGGGATATGCAGGTTAGGTGCAATGTCATGGTAAAAGTCTGGTAACTAGGAACAGAGTGGAGGAGCTGAGTTTGGGTGGGACGCTCTTTGGAGGGCTGCTGTGGACTTGACGGGCTGAACGGCCTCTTCCCGCACTGTGGAGATTCAATTACTTGATTGGTCTAAAATGCTGATTATGTTGCAAGACTGGAAAATAACAGACAGGTACATTGACACAAAGCAACAGCAAATGCTCCACTCTCATACCGTTGCTGTATTTGAGGAAGATTGCAATGGTAAGGGGGCAGACTTTATTTTCGACACTAATAGTGAAGGCAGGGTCCACGGTGCAAACAACACACAATGTCTCCATGACCAGGGTCAGCACCTCTGAACTAAACTGTGTGGCAAGATGCATCAAGCCATCCAGGATGCTGGGAAGAAACGGCTGTAAAACATGTGTACACTCAGAGATTTTCAACTGGTCACAGTATCTGTGAACGAGGAAAGAGAATATATATTAGACCAGCTAACTGATCACAACTCCAACTGTAATAATAAATCAATTAAACGTATATTAAAATCAATACCATTGATTTCACTGGAACTGACTGGTTCAAGTATATTTATGCGAAAGTAAAGCATAATGATAGATCTAATCCAAGAAAAGTCATTATTTTCTTAATGAACAAGCACTTGAACAAATAAATTAATCAGACAGAGTAGGCACATCCTGTTTGAACTTTTTTTTAAAGCAAGTCTCCAACCTAGTGGACAGAAGCTGTAGATGGATGGCACTGATATAGATTACCACAGACAATTACTAACCTTCCACACATGAAATTATTAGCAAAAATGAAAGCACAGGCAATTGGAAAGAGAGAGAAGGGTTGAAGAAAACGTTGTCATGCACACAAGACTCCTGTGACATGAAGGACAGGTACTAAAGAGTTCCGATGTGATCAGCAGCGAGTTGTTAAATCCTTGGCAGATGAGGTGTAAGATAATCCACTTTCCATTTGAGGATAAATTGGAATATCTTCTAAAGGGTGAGAAATGGCCCAGTTTAACAACATTTCTTTAAAATTTGCACCTTACCCCCAGATGGCTCGCACAGCAGAGATTCGCACTGATGGTGGCTGAGTTTCATGCAAACCACTGACAGTTGCTTGTAGAAACTGCTGGATCAGTTCAGGAGTCATAACAGTGGCAAAGCGGCTGGCAGCCCAGAGGGCACGTCCTAACAGGAATGGAGAGACTGCGAGGCCAGACAGGGAGGCGCGAGGCCAGACAGGGAGGCGCGAGGC